GTTTCACATCCGTGGCACACCCACAAGCAAACGGGCAAGTTGAAGTAATCAACAGAATCTTGGTGGACGGTATAAAGAAACGCATGGAAAAGGCAGGCGGTGGTTGGGTAGAAGAATTAGACTCGGTTCTATGGTCTTATCGGACATCACCTAAAAGGGCTACCGGAGAAACACCCTTCAGCTTGGTTTATGGGATGGAAGCGATCGTGCCGGCCGAGATAGGCCTAGAATCATTAAGGGTTCGCGAATATGATGACAGGGAGAATGAAGAAATGATGCGAGAACACTTAGATCTTTGCTACGAGAAAAGAGAAGCAGCAGACTTGAAGATGAGAGATAGCAAAAATCGCATTAAAGTCAGCTACGACCGAAAAGTCAACCCGAGAAGCTTTCAAGTAGGCGATCTCGTATTACGGCGAGCGGATGCACTGAAACCCACGGGCAAGTTAGAGGCTAATTGGGAAGGTCCCTACACAGTAACGAAGGTCGCAGCGGGTGGCGCCTACGAGTTACAAGATCGAAAAGGCAAAAAAATACCAAGAACGTGGAATGTATGCCACCTTAGGAAGTTCTACGCATAGCAGATCGCGACGACAGGTTAGCAAAAAAAAAAAAAAAAAAAAAAAAAAAAAAAAAAAAATTGTAATTCTCTTCAATAAGTGGATCTTTTCGCACATGGGTCTCGGCCCCGTGGTTTTTCCTTTCACTTCGGGAGGTTTCCACGTAAAAAAAATCTTGCGTCTTGTCTCTCTTTTATTATTATTTTATTTTTATTAAAAAAAAAAAAAAAAAAAAAAAGGGGTTGGAAGATCCCCATGGCTATGGCCTAAAAGGTAATCGCGAACATATAGAAAGGGTTGGAAGATCCCCGCGGCTATGGCCCAAAAGGTAGTCGCGAACATATAAAAAGGGTTGGAAGATCCCCGTGGCTATGGCCCAAAAGGTAGTCGCAAACATATAGAAAGGGTTGGAAGATCCCCGTGGCTATGGCCCAAAAGGTAGTCGCGAACATATAAAAAGGGTTGGAAGATCCCCGTGGCTATGGCCCAAAAGGTAGTCGCAAACATATAGAAAAGGGTTGGAAGATCCCCGTGGCTATGGCCCAAAAGGTAGTCGCGAGCAGATGGAAAAGGGTTGGAAGCTCAAAAAAAAAAAAAAAAAAAAAAAAAAAAGGAAAGTCATAAGATCGTAAAGATGATTAATCTCCCAAGACCACAGCAAGGAGACAAGCTCGCAAAATGATCCTTGAGAACCTGGGAAGATCAACCAGTTCATGCAAAATAACAAGCCATACCAACAGAAACAAATCGCAAGGTATGAAAACAGATCCCATGAAAAAACAAAAATAGCATAAATAGTATTAGTTTAGAACAGCGAGCACAAAATCACAAGGGGAACATAGAAACTCCCACATATTTTAAGAAAAACTATCTCTAATCTATGCGGGTGAACCTTCGGCGAGATCATCTGGAGTCGCATCACCTTCATCATCAGCAGCGTTATAGGCATCAACGGCGTTTCCCAAAGCGTCCTCTTCAGTATCTCTTCTGATAGCCGCCGTCGTCGAAGGACCAGCCTGGTCGGAAGGGCGAGGACATAGTTGGTTCGCAACGGAGGAAAAGATTGGCACCCACCAAGCTAAGTTCGCGGGCTCGGAAGGATCCCCCCCCCAACCGGGAATGTTCTGGCTGGCTTTCTTTGACATCTCCTTCTCGTCTAGCTTCAGCGAGAGCCCCGCAGCATCGATCTCTGTTTGTGCAATCTGAATCCCTTCTGACCAGAAGAACTTGGAAACAGGAAGAGCCCTCCGGAAGAAAAGCATGGATTTCCAAAGTCTTGCCAGAAAAGCCCCCACAAACTCGTCCCTAAATCGCTCGCCAAGGGGGGTATGAAGGAACTCCATCCGACCCACACGGCGGCCTTCTTCATATCGCAGGGAGCTGTTGTCCATGGCTTCGGATAATTGGCTAAGGGTATGCTTATGCTCCTCCTCCATCAATGCCATCTTATCTTTGAGCGAGTCAACCTCCACGCGCAAGCTGCTCATGTCCTCCTCCAACCTTTCATTCCGTTTCTCCACCAGTTGTTTCTCGTCGCTTAGCTGCTTGCGATCCTTCTTCAGCCGGTTATACGCCTCGCGGAGGGTATCACTCCTCTGAGAAGGGCAGGTGGCCCACAATGTTTGCAACTGTACAAGAACTAAAAGCATGAGGACGTAACCCTTCAAAAAAGAAAAAAAAAAAAACCGAGGGAAAATGGCCGACATACCTTGGCCAAATGGTAATTTGAACGGTCGATGCGGTGGTCCAGACTCATCTTGCCCCATAACTCGCGATCCCTAGGGGTCGCCTGCTCGCGAAATATCTTGCCGATCTCCGCACCATCCTCACATTCAGCGAAGCTAAAACCTTCTCTCACAGGAGTTAAGCCTAATTGGGCCTGCACCCCAGCACCCGCACTTGAGCTCAAGTCGATAATGCTTGGGGAAGAGGTGCGAACCCTTTTGCGCGACGAAGAACCCGTTGCGACCTCTTTCTTCTTACGTTTCTCCGAGATGTCCATCTCAGCGACAACATCAACATTATCAGGCAGTATCGGTTGCGAGGAGGAATTTTGGACCAGATCGCCAATATGGGTGGGAACCACCGGATTCAGCTCGCCCTCGGGAAAGATATCAAATGAACTGTCCTCGCTGTAGAAGAGTTTGTTGAACTCCATTCCTAAAAAAAAAAAAAGGAGAAAGGGGGGGTTAGAGTTAATGGAAGACACATCGATACTCGCTGATAAAGGCATATAAGGAGAATGAAGCTATACTTATGTTGTGATAAGGAGTGGCGGTCGAGCTGAGCCATCTCAGGCCAAAGTGTGTTAAGATGCGCGAATTCCGAGTTAATTTTTCCACATGGAACCAACCGGGGCGAACCAGATCTAGGAAGTTCCTCAGAGTAGAATCCATACGAGGTTTGTCAAAAGGAGGAGTTTCATTGATCATTCGAGTAGGAAAAGGAAACGGGGTAGAAGAAGAAATATAAACGTAGTATCGATCCCAATAATGCACCTTATTGGGATACTTGTCCATAAACTTGGTACCCGCACGGGCAGCCAAATAAAACATATAGGGGGAATATTTCTTCGCAATAAAACAAGCGAACAAGCGATCAGCAGTCGGCTCTATTTTTTGCCATGCCAGAACACAATAGAAGACCGACATGAAGCGAATAGAATTGGGGTGGAATTGATTAATGGGGATACTGTACTTCTCAGAAACTGCGACGAAGAACGGATGGAGGGGAAGAGCAAGACCAGCATAGAATTGGCCTAAGTGAAAGGTGACACTGTTAGGAGGAGGAAAATGAGGTCGCTCGTTCTCGCGAGGAGTCGCAATGGAAAAGCCTGAAGGAAGGCCCACGTCGCGCATAAACAGTTCTATATGGCGAAGTGTCACGAGGGAACTCTCTGAAATGCCCGCTTCCCCTGATTGGACCTTTTTCCTAACCTTTTGAGTCACCGGCCGAGGCTCAAGGCTTACAAGGGGGCAAGATGTGTCAGAAAGCGTGTCGGAAGAGGAGTCAGATGAGGAAGAACTAGAAGACGAAGAGGACCCTATGACTAGAGAGGGATCCTCATTGGGAGGCAAGTTATGCTCGGCGGAAGAAGGGGGACGAAGAGATGACGATGAGGGACCAAAAGCCATGATACGACGACTCAAGAGATTACAAAGCAGAGAAGGAATTTTTATAGATGTATTAAAGAGTAAAGAAAATGAGGCAGAGAACGAAGAAGTACCTGGTGCCTTAGAAAGAAAAGGAGGCTAAGGGATGCGTGAGGCTGGTTCTCACGATGAGCGAACTGGAATAAAAAGGGGCGAGTAGCAAACAGGCGAGACGGAATAGTAAGTTTGGTAAAAGAAGTGGATGAAATGGAAGAGGAGGTATATATAGGGAGAGGAAAAAGGTAAGGTGAAACGATCCTGCAAAAGGGACCGTCGGATCAAACGGTGATGGAAGGCTGAGATTAAGACACGAGGTCCGGGTAGCTGTAACGGGCGGAAAAATCTTGGACAGGTGTCTCGTCACGGTTGGGCGGCGACAGCTATCGAAAGGACGAGAAGATGATACGTTCCCCACGTGCGAAGAACGCGGGACTCGAGACGCAGGGCAATAATGAAAAGCATTGGGAAGGGGCGCGTATTCACAGAAATAAATATGTGGTGGAAAAAAGCTCGCACGATTAACGGTGTGAAGTTCGCAAATATGTTTCCCGAAGGCATACGGCTCCCTCTCTCATTTCTAATGTTGTAGTCCGCTCCAAGCATATTCTCTAGCGAACTATCTTTAGGTTCACTAGAGAATAGGGGGGACTAGATGATAGGGCCCAGTTTGTCAACCTAGCCATTTGTAATGGGCCCGGGTGCGAAAAGGCTAGCCCACATAGGGGTTGGGCCAAGTAGGACGAATCTCGCTACAACTAAGCCCAAATCAACCTATCGAGCAAAGCTCAGCCCATAAGATGGCGTATGGTTTTTTCTCTCTAACACGCTCAAACAAGGCCCAGGGGAATTGAACGTGGGCGAGAAAACATGGCCCAAGCGAGTTAAGAGGGCGCGATTTCAGCATAAGAAGGAGAGGGAGGGGCAATCAGATCTTCTATATAAGGCCCAAGATCAAGACCAAGGAGGAAAGATGGGAGTAATGGACGAAATCTGTCCCCTTAATTGCCGGGAACAATTAGCTTATAAAGACCTTTGTAATCATCGTCGAAGAGGACACAGAGACAACAGTACAAAAAAAATACATAGAGAAAGAAAATAATAAAAAAGATCAATAAAGATTTTTATAGAATTTTTACCGGAAGATTCATAATTAGGGTCTCGGTGGAAAATTCTTGAAGGTGCGAATTTTCGACACCTTCAGAGATATTCGGTTGTTGGACCAAGTGAACGGATGGCCCTCATAACCTAAATCGGATAAATTGCAAAATTCCAAAGCAAGACGGAAGGCTTCGATTTTACATGGGGTTTTTATAACTCAAATTTCCATAAAATAGTTAATTCGGTAACAAATTATGAATGTCACTAATAAATTAACTAAACATGTGCAAAGTAGGTGTACAAAGGGATCCCCTCATGGTGTAACCGAAGAAGTAAACTAAACTAGAAACTAAGATCATTGTGAAAAAACTTATGAGCTCAAAAAATTAACCAAGAAACCAAATTTGAAATATATAGAAAAAAATTAAAAATTATAAAATTATGAACCATTTGGCCAAAAAATAAATTATTACTTGAGAAGATGGTTGTGCAGTTTCCATTGTTAAAGTTGAACGAAACCTGCTATAGTGTCTGCAGCTGGACTTGTCGTCGTCCTCTTTGCGTCGGGCTATTCTGAAAACGGTTTAACAGAAAAGAGCAAAACCAGCTTGGCCAAACAGATGCTTGTGATCTTGACAACTTCCTCCTTTTAACTATTATTTCATTTTCGTTTTTATTTTTTTTGGTTTTTGGGAAAGAAGATCAGAAGACACAAAGTAAACAAAAAATCAAAACATTTTAAAATGAAAAGTTAAAAAAAGAGGAAAAAACAAGAACTTTATCATGACTTGTATGTTATATCTAATGCAGTAATAAAAAACAATCCCCACTCCCCAGAAACCGGAATGTTGATTGAGTTAATTTAATCCCATTCTTTCGTTTAATCGAATTTCGTGCGCTGCTCATAATATGTAGGAGTGTATATATATATATATATATATATATATATATATATATATATATATATATATATATATATATCAAGTGAATTTCTAGGTTTATCTAATTAATGACTATTCTATCCCTCAACCACCAACTGCATAACTTCTCAAGCTAGAACACTATACCTTGAAAGTACAAACCCGCAAACAGAAAAATCACGACGAAAGCTATATACGGTCTCCCGTCAATGCCAGCTGATACAGACCTGTGTAGGAAGCAAAACAAACCTAATGAGAAATGCCGTAATATTATTTATTATTCTACACGAAAGTGTTTTTATTTTTTGTACCTTGCAACCATTGTCTTGGTTGTAAGTCCAAATCCAAACGGGAAAAGCGGATCGTAATGCGAATCACCAACATTCATCGGGAGTTGATCTACACTTCTAAACCAAGTCCTCGGAAGTTTACCTGTGAATCCGTAATCACCAAAGAGAACATCAGTCACACCTTGACCTTCGGTACCAGGTAACCAGGCTGCAACAAGAGCATCGATTACCGACATATACGGTTCAATCACAATCGGTCGCCCGGAAATTACGACGACGACACATTTGAAGGACCCGCAGACGTTGTTGATGACATCAGGTCCGGGATCGGCCATTGTCAGAGTTTGACTGTCGCCTACTGTCTCTGTGTAAGGATGCTCCCCGACAGCTACGATAGCGTAATCGAAGTGGTTCGATTTCAGATATTGAGTGTCGGGGTTCTCGCTGTATATAACTTCGGTTTTCTTATCAACTGATGACTTAATAGCATCGAGAATTGTTGTTCCTGTATTGAAATGAAATACAGCTCACCTTTGAAATAATGCTCAAAGAGAAGGGACAAAAACTAATTTTAGTAGGATTACTAAAAGTGAAGTGAATTTACAAATCATATGAAATGACAAGTATAAGCGATATAATCGGAAAGGTTTTGGGTTTTGGTTTCGAATTTTGGGTTTTTCGGGTTTTTGGGTTTTCGGGTTTTCGGGCGCCTAAGTAAGCCAATAGTAATTTGATAGACAATCAAATTTGAACTTTAAAAAAAAAAAAAAAAAAGGTGCGAAGATAAAATTCATAAAATCTTCTCATCGACTGTTCGATTTGAATTAACAAGTGCATTACTTTTATAGTAACTAACTAAATAAAGAAAAACAGAGAAGAACGTACCACTTGTCTCATTATTTCCCCTAAATCCCTGCCAAGCTATTGTCCAACCACCACATTGATAACCCAAATTGTCGGCATGACTACCCGCAACTAGAATCTTCGAGGCTTTTTTGGGCAAAGGTAGTAACGGTTCACTTTCACGTTTTCCGTTTTTTAGTAGAACAAGCGATTTACGTACAGCCTCTCTAGCAATATTCCTGTGTGCCTGTAAATGTTTAAAGAAAATATCTCAGATCATTTTGTTTGAAGTCTTTAAATTTTTTTTTTTTTTACGAGAATGAAAATTGTTGACTTACCTGGCTTCCAATCTCGTTGACCAAGCTAAGATCAGCCATAGGATTTTCGAAAAGACCCAAGTTGAACTTGATCAGCAAAATCCTCTCAACAGCATCATCGATACGGTCCATTGAAATAAACTTGTTCTTGACCAGATAAGTGAGGTCATTAACGAACTCGGTGACATTGTACGGAAGCATAATCTGTTATTAAAAAAAAAAAAAAAAAAATATCCACCTGAGATAACTTTCAACGAATGAAAGCATAATTTGTTATGGAAGATTCTCTGCAAAAAAAAAAAAAAAAAAATACAAAACCATGTCGATTCCGGCTTGAACACCAGCTAGAACAGAGTACGTATAGTTGGCGTGTGGCGGAGAGGTGATTCGGTCAAGGCCCGCCCAGTCAGATATGACAAAACCCTGACATTTTTCATCCAACCGATAATAAGATTAAATCAATAATCGTTAAAAGTTATTTGAAGGCAACAACAAGAATATAAAACTCGTTTCTTGAAATACCTTGAATTTTAGTGTACCCTTTAGAAAACCGGTGATCATTTCACGGTTTTCATGCATCTTTTTACCGTTCCAACTGGAGTAAGAAACCATGACAGTCGAGACACCCTTAATAATCGAGTCATAGTAAGCAGGCATGTGAATGCTGAGCAAACCGTGCACGTCTGTCAATGTGTTGTTTTCATTAATGCCCCTCGTCGTTCCTCCATCACCAACAAAGTGCTTTGCACAAGCTGCTACCTTGTTCCTAAGATAAATACAAGTGACGTGCGAAAATTTATTTCGGAAAATAATTCGAGTAATGTACATTCTCTAAATTGCACATGCATGTAATTTGATATCATATATACGTACGTACTTTCCGATGACGTAAGGAACACCCTTGCGCGAACCACTTGGAATATCGCCTTGTAACCCAAGTATAATATCCGTCATTTCTTGGACGACCTTTGGATCCTCGCTGTAACTTTCATAGCATCGGCCCCACCTAGGATCTCTGCATACCTACATCAAATCAAAACTAACATACTGCTAAAAACTTCTTTGAGGTGCAAACAAGTCGTGGGTTTTTAACCGATAATCCCGATAGTAAGGTGTATCTTATTGTAACTTACAGCAATACAAGGAGCAAATGCATATTGAATTCCAGTTGCTCTAACTTCGATCGCAGTTGCATCACCAATCCTTCGCACAAGCTCAGGGTCCCTGTACCATTAATATTTCTAATTATATGGAAAATCGAACTTTTGAGCCAAAAATTGTGACGACATTTTTTTTTTGCGGAAAAAAAAAATTTGGGCCGAAAGAAATTTGGTGTTTAGGAAATATGGGTTGTGTAGAAGTATCGTAAGACCAACAAAGTGGAAGTAAAGTCGAACAAAGAAAGACTTGTGTTATGTGACAATAAGCTCGTAAAAGAAAAAGCAGGCAGTTTTACCTAGTGGCTCCAAGGCCAATGTTGTGTGGGAAAATGGTGGCGTTATATACATTATTGTGTCCGTGAACGGCATCTATTCCGTAAATCATAGGAATACCAAGACGTGTGGATAAACACCCCTTTTGGAAATCATTCACCATGTTCACCCAATCTGCAGCACTGGCTCGTGGCCGCGGCGTGCTCCCACCGCCACTTAATAAGCTGCCTGTAAGTAATTCATCAGAAAAAAAAGAAAAAAGAAAAAAGAAAAGAAGAGATTATCTTTCAACAATTAAACAAGGATACGTCATCTTTCTACTGAGCGAAAGTGATTGTGCATTACGTGTTCACAATCCACGTAAAACCAGGCCTTTGTAAGCTAAAAACACACTAACTCACAATAACAAGCTCCTCCATAGCAAATTCGAACAACATTTTTTAGCAGACTTATACAATGGGATATCAAATCCTTAGTTCTCATTTAATATATATATATTTTTGGAGTGATTGTGGTGGATTACGAATCCTCGAATCCAAACGCACACTTATAATCCTAAAACTCCCTTTCCTTCCTAAGAAAGACAGTAACTTCTTTCTTCGTTTTTTTTCCCAAAAAGGGAAACTTATAACCATGAAAACATTCTACATGCCCGAAAAATGGTATAACCTTTAAAAAGCAATACGGAATGCCCGATGCTGTAACTCAAAAACTGTAAACCGAGTCATCAATCACAGTTCCAAAATCACAATACATCTAGCATTTCCTTTATAATTGTGCCTTTGTAACCAGAATCAAACTCTTTATTATAATTATTATTAAAAACAATTTGATTCCAAATTTAACAGCGTCTCAATTTTAAATTCAAGTAAAGTACAAGCTTATTACTTATTCAGGAATGGCGGTCCCCCATCAATAATGGAGAATTAAACACACACACACACACACACACACACACACACACACACACACACACACACACACACATACTGATAATGAAATTTGAGTTGAAATCAAAAGCCCCATATCAAAAAAAAAAAAAAAAAAATGATTACCGATAAAGGATTTGGTCATTAAATGAGGAGTAGCAGCAATCCTATCAATCTGAATCATCTGACCAATCTTTTCCTGTAGAGTCATTCTACCAATAAGATCTTTCACCCTAACACCAACCGGCTGCTTCGGGTCCTTGTACTTTGCAATATTCTCATTTCCGGTCCCCAATATTGCACCTCCGAAACACCACAGCATTACCACCATAACCCACACCCACTGGATCCGAACCCTTCCAACGAACCTCTTCATAGCTCAATGATTTTCGTTTTAATGGCAAAAATGGAGATTATTGAAGTAGTAGTGGTAGTTAGTTTGTGTGTTTTAGTGGTGGTGGGGGTGGAATATGTGGGGAAGCGAGAGTGGGAGATTCCGCGAGAACGTGGTTGGATGGTCCTTTCCTTCAATGCAAATAAGATTCGTTTACTTGTCAAATTTAAATATTTAGTTAGGGCGGTTTAATTACCAATGAACATGATAATTAAGATATGGTTATGCATCTCTACTCTTGTTAATGGGTGGACCGAGTTTGACCCGCCTTAAAGGTTTGACCGTCTTAAACCACCTCACTGGTAAAAAACCGATTTTTCAAACATTTACAATAAAATCGTAAAATTTTGGGACCGCCTCCACCTCCGAGACCGATTAATCGACCACATCGGTCGATTTTTAGAACACTAGTATAAAGATATAAATACCCTCAATTAATAAGAAAACAAATCTCATATAACTCTCTCTCTCTCTCCAATCTCACGTTTCGCTCACCGTATATTTGATCATTCATCTCTCTCTCTCTCTTCTCTTCTTCTTCTTCTTCTTCTTCTTCTTCACAAACCCACCAAGAACCATAAACACCAAACACAATCAAATAATCACCAAACATTCATACTGGGATCGGAAAACATGGAGATCGTGGTTTATGAGGGTGGAAAACGTAATAAGATATGTATGTAACCGTTTATTTAGCTTTGTCGTTTTTTTTTTTTTTTTTTGAAACAAAAAAAAAATCACCGATACTAAAAATCGGTGTCCACGGTCCGATTTTTTAAAAAACTAATCGGTATTCACTTGCCGATTTTACAAACAAAATCGGTGTTGATTTGAATATGCCGACTTTGTCACAAAAAAATCGTCGCGTACACACCGTTTTCCCAACTCCGATTTCAATCTCAAAATTTAATCCTAAATCGACCAAACAATTGCAATCCAGCAAGAAATAAGCATCGATTAATGTTCACCACATATATTTATCAAGGAATCAATGCTCGTTTTCAAGGAATCAATGCTCGATTAATGTTTCGAATTTACCGACAAAAAGTTTAGTATAAAAAGTGGTGTGTTGGTGGTGGTGGAGTGGTGGTGGTGTGCAAGTGGGTGGGTTGTATGTCGGCGCCGGTGCGATGGCAATCGTGCGGCGGCGGTTGTGTAGCGGTGACGGGTCGGGCATTTTTGTTTTTGTTTTTTGTTTTTTGGTTTTTTTTAGTTGGTTTTGAACAAATTAAATATAAGAATATAGGATTTGTGTTTGATTTTGGTAGTATTTGTGGATGAGGGCATATTCGTCCTCTATGGTCTTGATATAAGAAAATTAGATAAAAAAAAATTAGATAAATTTGTAGGCTTGAACTAAAGAACCATTTATTGTGTGTTTGAACAAAGAAAAAATTGGGCTTACATATATTCGCGGTCTTAATTAATACGAACATTATTGTTCTTGTGTACAATAACATTAATGGCCCCTCATAAATTATTTAATGCATTCAGCCCCTCGAACTTAAAATGTTGGCTCCGTCAACCCCCTCCAGCTTAAAATTTTAGCTCCGTCACTGAATGGACATACAACTCTAACAAACGAGATATGTGCGTATGAATTTAGATGTACAATTAGTGGCGGATCTGGCTATGGTCTAGGGTGTGCAGAGCTGCACACCCTTGATTTCAACCAAATTGTTTTGTTATACATAAGTGAACAAAAAAGGCTATTGGTTGAGGTGGTAAAGCTCTCTTCCTCACATATTAATAGGGCCTGAGTTTGATACCTGACCCTCTCAAATATTAGAGCAACTCCAACCCATTGTTATCAAATAGGATTATCAAATACTCATTTGATAACTATGATTATACTTTGATATCTCTATACAACTAATGACTTCAACAACAAGTATCAAAAAACAATTATCAGACAAATTTATGATTATTTATATATTATTTATTTTTTAATTCATTTTAAATAACAATACAAATCGATTTTTTTGGTAAACTATCCTCAAAATCAATATTAATCAAGTTTTTACCTTTTCAAAACCAAAAAAAAAATTATATATACATAGTGATTTTTTTTCCGTGGAACTTTATTGAAGCTCTAGAGAAAAAATTGAGATATTTTTGAGATTTTTTTTTTCAGTGAAAATTTGAGAATGATATGATCCAGCCATGCATCAAAGCTAGTGCCGAACTAATCGGATTGCAAGCTCTTTCAATGCAAGCCGATGAAGATGGTGTGTTCTGCGATGTGGTGGAGAGATGTGTAAGTTTGCTGCCAACATGAGAGATCGATTGTGTTTATACTCCTTGTGATATTTGTCCGGATTCGAGGACGAATCCTTTTAAAGAGTGGGAGTATGATACGATCCTAGCAAGCTCAAAGATGAAGAATTGGAAGAAGCGCAAGCGTACAAGTTTTAAGAGACTATTCGAGTTTTTCTTGGAGAAGAAAGGCTGGAATCAAATGTTTGAGATGTATATGGTTTGGAATTGGAAGAAAAGAAAGAGAAGAATTCGTTGGAATAGTCGAATTTCATGCATGCTAGATTATCGCCTATTCTGGCAGAGTTTACCATTCGAGTTATAAGTCACACATCTGAAGTCCATTTAAGCTGATTCAAAATGATTCGGAAAGCTAAGTGAAAGATCTACAACTTTCATGTTTTGAGAAAAGAGATATTCGAAGTGGAACAATGTTGACATTGAGTTGTGCTTGTGCATGCACGTAGAGAATTTAATTTTATTCTGTTGGATTTTTACGTAAAGAAATTAAAAGAAAACTCAATTATGTTGAGGTTTTTACGTAAAGAAAAGAAAACTCAAATTCGTTGAGGATTTTCTTTTCTCACGTGCTCTTATTTTTTAGGAGAATATTTGATAAGTATTATTTGGGATGTATTTTTACTTCTTGATGGATGAGTTATCAAAATAGAACTCTATTTTAATAATACCATTGGAGAAGAAAGTTTTTAAAATTGGGGAATCAAATGGAGGTTAAGGGATTTGATAACCCATTTAATAACCCGTTGGAGTTGCTCTTACTATTTTTTTTTTCAAACTAAAATTTGCAAATGGTAAGTTTTTGGTCAACTATTTTTATAAAGTGATATTTAAATTTTTTTTATTCTACAATTTTAAATATTTTTGACAAAAATCCTAGATTCGCCAATGCGTACAATCTTCTATATTTTGTTGGAAAAAGTAGAATTTAAATAACTATATTTTTCTACGATAAAAAATCACTCTATTCTCTACAGATAAGCGTAAGAGTATAACATATACGTCAGTGTTAAGATATTTTCCTTTTTAGTTTTAATTCAGGAAAAAAATAGATATTGCACGTTTTTTTATTTATAGTTTGTGCCCATGTTATATTTCAGAGGTAAACGTAAGTTCAACAAACAAGAACATTTTTATAATTTTGATATATTTGAGAATTGAGGGATTACTTGTAATTCAAAGTTTGTATTTATTCTTTTTATTGGGGGGAAGTTTAGATATTTTACAATTTGTGTTCGTAACTTCGTATTATTGACGGATCGTTGGTTTGGTGGGGCTAATATGATTTGGCAAACAAAACATATATATATATATATATATATATATATATATATATATATATATATATATATATATATATATATATATATATATATATATATATATATATATATATATATATATATATATTTAGGTATCTCAAGAGGAGGTATTTGTGATTTATGTACAACAAATTAGAGATATTTAAGAAGCATTTGGTAAAACACACTTCCATCCATATGGGAAATATAAGATGATGAAAATGGTGATGGCGTACAGTATAGGGCAAACAAAGAACTTAATAATGATTGATTGATTTAGGTCATCTCCAAAACAACGAGACTTGGAATAGTTTCATTCATAAGAAAAGAAAACACACATACACACCTGGTATATATTATCTCATTCTTTCTCAGCTTTATTTATATATGCACACAAACACAATTTATTGATATTATTACTACTTTGCATTGATCAATATTCATATAAACAATACAAAAAAAAAAAACATTAAATACAAAAAATGGCGACGAAGCCAAGAGTTGGTGGTGTTTTGGCAGTGTTTGAAGAATTCAACCCCATTTCAGAATGGAAACAAGATGATGTTCTTCACTCTCTTAATCTCATTATTAATCTTCCTGGTAATTACTATCTAATTTATTATTATATATCTTCTTTAACTTTAATAATGCCAATTATGATGCATTTTTTGGTAAATCAGGTTTCACAAAGGACCAAATCAGAGTGTCAACACAAGGCCGGAATACCATTCGGGTTGCCGGAGAACGCTTTGTAGCCGGCAACAAATGGATCCGTTTCACCCAAGATTTTCAAGCCCCCGAAAACACCGAAATGGACACTATTCGTGCCAAATTACAAGGTGGCATCCTCAATATCACCGTCCCCCAAAAAACAAAGACGCCCGTTCTTACCGAAAAATCCCAGGACCCTCCTCCGAAAACTACTATCGACACTCCAAAAACTACTGCCGACACCCCTCCAAACAAAGCAGCCCCCCCACCATTTGAAGACAAAATCTCAGCAACTCAAAAAACATCAAAAGATGATGTTCCACAATTGTCCAAAGAAAAAGTAGAGCACGCATCACTTGTAGATAAAGACGACCATGTAATAAACAAGACCGACGAAAGTAGTAAAGAATTACCTTCGGCAGCCCACCGTGAAGCAGAGGAGGAAAACGGTACAGCGTCGAAAGGGAAAAAAGTAATCGAATCTGATAATTATGGAGCTTTCACAATAGGGAGATACAAGAAAGCGGTGAAAGGGATTACGCAGCTCAGTGAAGAAAGGCAGCTGCTGGTGAATGTGGGGGTGGCTGTGCTCGTCATTGTCTCCGTCAGCGCTTATGTCACCTACAAGTTTGCTTCACGAAAAGATAAAAACTAACTTGTTCTCTAAGAATACACAATACACGTGTATGTATGTATAACTCCCAATTGCATATGATGAATAAATGGCACAGTTTATGAATTTAGACGAATAAAACGAATTTCGTTTCATCAGTTTGCCTGGTTCCATACGCAACAAAAAAGCTAGATAATTCAGGCATAGTACAAATGGTGGATCGATCAACTCAACTAAAATGCAAGTAAATCATCATAAATAAAAACCATTACTACACACTGTCATTTCGGAAACGAAACCAAAAATAACATCAGCCATTTCCAAACACTCACCAAAACACATTCGATTCTACGAAAATTTCAAGACACAAAAACCGAAACATGCATTTTTCCGTATTATCCCTCAAAAACAACTAAAAAGTTGAAAAAACGAAACTGTATACACAATCTTACGATTTTAATGGGACATTAAAATTAAACAAACAGAAAAAAGGAAAAGGCAAAAACAAATTGTTATTCTAATAGAAGGGAGGGGGGATGCTGCAAAATATTTATTTTCACCATCAAAATCTTAGTATGCAGTTTCACCAGAATCAACATAATATTGCAGTAGTTAATGTACATGCGCGCACATAAATGAAGACTGAAATATATTCACGTGACAAAGATAACTTCTAGGATGATTCTCATACATATAAATCCCACAAGAACAAAACAACAGATCGAAAATATAGATACCATTTATTCGGGTAACTATATTTATCCTGTAGCTTATTTCCACAAAAGGAAACCGGCAACCAAAACCTACGCCGAACAGAAGTGCATGTTACTCTTGAATCACTAAAGCAAAAAAACTAAAAATTAATGTAATCTCGGAAGCTATTGTGGGACTTTTGAACATGAAGAGAAAAAACTAGGTTAGATACGAGAATATGAGTGAGGCGATGATTCATAAGAGTATTGAAAAGTGAAAATGCAAACATAATCTCCGAAAAATGTTACAAATCTAATAAAATAACAATTAAACTCAGCAGTTTTCACTGTTTCTCAGAGCTGAAGTTGAAACATGACTTTCTTTGCCTTAAAAAAAAAAGAAGCGCTATTACCTTGCAAAGGGCAATATGTCAATTTGACTGCGTATCAGCAATTTTTCAGTCACAACATGTAAATTGACATCATTCGTAAATCAATTAATGTTACATATATGTGCAAGTGCGGATTGTCTTCATAATGCCGAGTATGTTACACTTGGTGTTTTCATTTCGGTGGTGTCTTCTTAACATTATCCGCTTGAGAACTCAATGCCTTCTCTGGATTCTTCCTCTTTTTCTTTAATCGCATTCCGAGCATGTCATCTGCAGCATAGTTGTAATTGCTTCATTAGTGCATAAATATAAAAAAAAAAAAATGTTTAATATATGCACATGGTTCAGAAAAATATATCACATGAATGTAGCCCAAGACTGCATTTTGAATACAGTTGGTGTATTATTGCACGACTGCTTTTCGCAACAGTTGGTCTTAAAATGAATATAGAAAATGGCATGCAATTCACCGACAAAAACATTATTGAAGTAATAACATTACATGGATTAAGTGTTTGTTTCAGCATGATGTAAATGAAACCTAAGCTATATACAAGGCAAATAACATAAAAAATCACTATCGAGGTCTTCCATAACTCCGATGGATCACTTGCATGATTAAATTTATCTTAAACCTTTTTATAACCTTTCATTTTTTCTAATAGGTTGCAAATATAATAAATCCAAAGTCTTCACCATTTGTAATGATACACCAAGTATTCAAACAACACTTTTAATTTTCATTATGTTACTGATAAAGTCAGAAGAAAATGTGTTCGACTAAGTTCAGTTGAATCCACTTATGTTACCTTCAAATGGACTAGATTCATGGTTTGATAAATGACCATTCTGAACTGCCTCCTCTGAAAGAGGAGACAGGGACAGGCTTCCATCCGCCAGCTGTGAATTACTTAAAACAAGCCTGTCATCCTGCTGCTCAGGAACATCTGGACATGGATCAGCAGGCAAGAACCTTATTTCATCATGTGACACGTCCGAATCGCTGAAAGTTGAATCCTTCTCAACTTCCATAATATCAACTTCCTCGTCTTCATTGATACCTGAATCTTTGACCTGAAACAAATACAAACATATTAGAGAAAAGACAAGAGGAAGAATTAGAGAAAAGAAAAAAGGGACAAAAAAGACTCACCTTTTCTGTTTCGGGAATTAAATCAAATTCATCTTCACGTTCCACATACTCCTCGTTTTCCTCAAGCTCTTTAAAATCGGGGGCAAATGCACTCCAGTTCTCAGTATAATCTTTGGCCCATATGTAAACCAAGCCAGTCAACGAAACAGAAAGCACAATAGGGTGAACTGGATGCCATGCTAAATCTATTAATGCCTCCTTTGGACCTTCGAGTATTTTAACAAGATGCCCAGCTCTGTCCCATATGTAGATTTTGTGCTCTCCTTTGCTGGCGGCACCGCCAACAACCCATTCACCATCACCGCTAAAACACGGAGCTTTCCAGTGCACCTTTGTAATTGAATCTTGAAACTCCCTAAATAGTGCTAGACACTTCGATCCAACAGCCTTTAACTTTTCGGCCTCGTCTTTCTCATCTTCCTCATTGTTTGCAGCATTCAGGGATTTAAGCGCGTCTTTCAAAGGCAAAAGATTCTCGTAGATTCTGATAGTACGGTCGCTCGAGTTTGTGAGTAGATACTGGCCGTTCCTGCTGAAAACGATATTCTTGACCACGGCACTCCCAGGAATAGAAACAATGCCACATATCTTAACAGTTTTATGATCTATAATTAGTATCTCTCCTTTGGAATTTCCGACATAAACTAAATCACCGTGATTGTTGAAGCATGCTGCAGCAGGTGTAAATGGAGCAGACCCATCAGAAAATTTGGTGCGTGGTTGAGGGGCAACACCATTTCCCGAATCGGATAATGACAGAGGAAGAACTGTTGTGGTTCCTGTATGCAAATCGACAATCATGGGTGCAGATGAAAATGGACAAGCTAAGCAAATAGATGGTGTAGCTGAACCAGGATCTAAACGAGCTTGTAGTGGTGTTTGTTGCAGTGTGGAGCGAGCAATTTTTTCACCTTTGACAACATCCCATAGAGTCAATGATTTATCTGCAGCAGATACAAGTATGCAGTGACCGTACTTTGACCAGCAAACACTAGTTATGGCGGCAACATTGTTGCTATCACCGAGTTCTTTGGCGATACCTCTGGTTTCAAAATCCCATATTACACAGCTTCCATCAGAGCAACCAGCTGCACCCCACAAAAATATTAAGATATTAAAGAGAGATCAAATTTATTACAGTTCTAGAATGTAAGAAAGAGAGAGCACAGGTAATAAAATAGAAAGATGTTTGGGTTCTACTGATGCATGGGAGTCTTATTAGTCACTGTACAAACAAGAAACCAGATGAACCTGAATGACCAAGCATAAATTTTCGGTAAAGTAAATTTTCAGGTACAGGTCTCATGGGGAGAGATATTGTTAAGAAGCGAAATAAAAAGTTACCCGTTTTCTTATGAAAAGATGTCCTAGTTGTAGTTCTGCTATCGTTTAGATGAAAAAAATACAATATTAATGATATTGTATAGATGCCATTATGTTAGAAAGAGCACAGCTAATAAAATGGTAAAGATCCTAGGATTTTGCTCCAAAATTCACAATGGACTATACCGATGCATGTGTGAGGCTTATTCGTCGTTGTACAAACAACAAACCAGATGAACCCGAAAGACCAAGCACAATTTTTTCAGGTACACCTATCACGGGGAGATATTGTTGACACTAGAGAAGCAAAATAAAAAGTTACCCTTTTTCTTATGAAAGGCTTCTCTAGTTGTAATTCTGCTCTCGCTTTGATAAATAAAAAATGATAGTAATTCCGCCCACACAGTTCTTTCAATTATACGAAGAGTAGAGATCGAACTTAATACGGCTTCGAATAAATTATTTACATAAGAGCCCATCCTGCTGATTAAAAGGATGCTCGGGAAGTATCATATACACAATTAAATCGAATTGTCAAACATCAACGAGTGGCACAAGTCAAATTTTTTCATGTTAAGGAGCAGCTATTTACAAGACAAGCTATAAATTACTGAGCACTTGATCAGCAAATTGCAGTAGAATCGAACATGCTTCAACGAGCTATTGTTAATGAGAATGTCACAACATTAACCCAAGAAAATCATTACAATCTCGATGGCTTTCAGGCTAAACTAAAACTAACAGATCGACCTAAAGCCCGCGACTCGTAAAACATATTTATTTCCTCATGTATACACATGGAGTAATATGTGCAAATTACAAGTTCAAAAACACCCCATGAATTTATATTAGTAAAGTAAAAGCGAAAACAGAGTAAAGAGAAAACAAAAGAGGAGAACTATACCGGCGAGAAGGGTTCCTCGGCGATTGAAGGCTACACATTTAACAATCCCATGCTCCAAATACTCCTCAATTACTTCTGGAAAATCCCCCTGCAATGGGTCTACATTCAAACACCCAATCAAAATTATTTCAAAAAACCATATATATATATATAATAATAATAATAATAATAGTAGAGCAATTGACAGCCAAAAGAAGAAAAATAACGAGCAAAATAAAAATAATTCGGACTACATTATGTCAAAGGGGGGAAATTTACCAATGATGGTGGCGTTCATTGTTCACCGACCGGCGTAGAAACTGCTTCCAATTTCCCAAGAGAGAGAGAAGCTGAATTAATAAATCAATTTCAGGGTGGATTACGCAAATTTGAGCATAAACGCGTCGAAAGAGCGAGCAGAGGAAGATCAAAAAATTTAATCAGTGGAAAAAAGAAAAACAAAATTCGCCCTTTTGTTTCCGGTGAGAGAGAAAAAGTGTGAAGAATGAAATAGTACAGAATGAATGTATGTATGTATGTATGTATGTATAGATTTATATATATGGAGGTAAGGTAAGGGTTTCTCTCTGGGGCAGCGGGAAAATAGAGAATGGCGACTGGGGAATTGGAGATCCAAAGGGTAGTTTCGGTATTGTATACTTTGTCTGGGTAGAAATCAGAATTCAGCTTTTCTTTTTCACTAATTTAATGTACTCGGAACAAAGTCCCAACTCTTTTATTTTCTTTTCTTTTCTTCTCTTTTCTTTTAATTTAATTTCCCTCCAAGGAGAGGCAGAGGAGAATAATAGAACAATACACCAAATTAGCCCGAACCCAAAAAATAAAAAAAATAAAAAAAAAACCTTCAGTCGAAACCAGACAAATAATGGGATAATACCCAGAAGAGCGTAAACGAGTCGATCTCGAGTTTTATATTTCAGCTCAAACTTGAAATGTTCGAGTTCAAACTTTTGTCGAGCAGGTTCTACTAATTTACACACCTAATAACCCGAAATAGAATAGAAAAAAAAAAAAAGGGTTAATTTTAGTTATCTCCCTTATACCAATGGGAAACCTTCACTTACCTCTCTTTTACCACCAAAACTTTCCCTTACCCCTAAATTATAATTTGTATTCATTATTCCATTCTTTAACCTAAATATATCTCTTTTTTTATTTTCCATAATAATTTTCTTCAACTTCCATTATTTCACATACTCATTTAATTATTATTATTTTATAATTTCTACTTTTTTTGGTTCGGTTTTATTAAAAAAAAATATCTTAAAAAGTAAATTACAACAAGAACGGCTCCTTCGACCCTACATCCGGTGATAAATACCGGGTGGGTCTTCTGCTGCCACAACAGTAAACCTATTTTTTTTATCATAAAGTTGAACATAAAAATTAATTTTAAATCTCCTTCTAATTAATTACAAGTGTGGGCATTTTTTTTTCTTTTTATAATATAATTTATTAAATATTTCATTATTAGTTTAATTATTAGATTATTTAATCAAAATAATAGGCCATGACAAACTTATATCCCCTAAAATAAAAGTTAAGATGATAATACAATTTAAATGGTAAATATCATTGTAAAGATTTCAAATAAATAATAGAGAGACTGTTGAGTGTTGAGTAAAAAAGTATTTTCATTCTGATTCTTTGATTCTTATGATACTTTATATTTCACTTATCTTTAGAACAAATATTACTTAATTTTAAAAAGGAAATATAAGTAGAGAGTTCAATATAAATAAAACATAAAACAAAAACGAGCAAAAATTAAAAATAAAAATGAGTATAATATAGATTATGTAATATATTTTTTTTTAATTGAAAAGATTCAAGTTTAGAAAATGATGAAAGAGAGAGAGATATGTCTTAAAAAACTAATATAAAAGTGTATAATTGGTATAGCATGTAATCAAGGGAGATTATTGAAGAATTTTATAGCATGGGAGGTAAATGAAGGTTTCTATTTAGTTTAGAGGAGGTAAGCGAAATTAACCCAAAAAATAAAGGGGATAATTTGAGGGACCCTCATTTGGCAAATATATTGAACTAACTACCAAGAAGACTACACCCTTAGTGATACCCTTATTTTTTTCTTTCAAATTTGATATAATTATCGACCACATGGAGTACTTATTATACCTCTTAGAGAATCATATTTAAACTATAGCCAACTACAATTGTTTCTCTATTTCTATATCTCTGCTTCTCGGAGTCATAACTTGCTTTTCGGCGGTCGAAATTTGATGGTTTAACTACCTTTGATTCCTCTTGTCGAGCTCTTTCTTTTTATGGTAATGTCATATGATTTGGAGCTCTGGACTGTTCCGTTGGTCGTTCTACAGTGCACGTGTATTTCGACGACGACGGATCTTCTTGAAGAGATAATTTATTTTCAAGCAGTCGAAATTTGACAATTTTGTTCAATTTTGGTACATGTGTCCTCTCTCTCTCTCTCTCTCTCTCTCTCTCTCTCTCTCTCTCTCTCTCTCTCTCTCTCTCTCTCTAATATCGTTGATCTTGAGTGTTTGAAGTTTCGTCATTTTTTGTTAACTTGCACTAATTTAATTGGAATAAAACATTGTATTCAATGTGACTGTTCTTGTCTCCTCAAATAACACAACTAAACATGTTTTTTGTTTGGTTTTACAATTGCAGGTTAATGGAAGTCATTGATCTTCCTTTAAAGGTGTCGAAAATTTGGTTGAAGTTGTAGGCGAATTTGACCAATTTGACATATGTATTTCAAGTTAGAGTCAGCTACAAACTACACATTACTACAAATGATTATACTCATGTAGTCATATATAGTATCATATAGGAACATGTGCATGTGATTGTATTTTTCGATCTATTTTTATTGGTACAAGTTGATTTATAATGTAACAATTCAAATTGTAATTTTGTTTGATGAGAATGAATTTTTTTGTTATAATCGGCGATATTTGTGTGTGTAATAGCTGATCGACCATAACTTTGGGATAAATAGATAGAACATAACTACAAATGACTATAGTAAATATATGGAAAAATTATTTTAAAAAAAAAACATGAAAATTTTGTTTTTTAAAATAAAATAATTAAAAAAATTAAAGAAACAGAATTTTATAAATAAATAAATAAAAAATCAGCGAAAATAATAAATACAGGTCTAATATACAATTGGCAAAAATGTTAAATAAAGACAAAAATTGCATGAGGACAATATAGTCCTTTTTCTTCATGAGGAGAGGTATCCATAAGAATGAATTAGGGTGAGTTTTTTTTCTAATTTAGTGAGACGTTAGGAATATGTCAAATGGACCCAAAAGAAATATCTTAGTAGCAAATATTCATTACATGCAAATGTACATTTTATGTGCACACAAATACATAAAGCTCCTGAAACATGGTTTGACGGCAAGTGTGAGTACAGTTCAATAAAACAATACAAACAAATAAGGTGCTGTCATTTTAAAAATTCAGATAATTACTCAAAAAGAATTGTCAAAATCTCTCAGTTTTTCGCACTTCCACCGTAAAAAAAGAAAAAAAAAAAAAAAAAAAAACACCTCATCGAACTGAGTTCTTATTTTTCATAACCGTTACTATTTCGCACTGTCAACGATCATTCTCCGAAATTGATGGCAACCCGACTTCTCACACATTAAAATGGTGATCGTAATATAAATCCCGAAAAAGAGTGATGCTTGCTTATCATTAAAAAAAAATTCCAAGCATCTTACAAAACTGAGACGAACAGCTAAACTTTGATTCTCCCGCAAAGACGCCAGTACGCTCCTTGATGGAAAAGTGATTTCTCAAAAACCCATATATCCCGTACAAGAACCTGGAATAACCACAAATATATCAAATTATATTTTAGAGCAAATAATAATGACGATACACATATTTAGGACACGAATTCCGAGGAGAGACTAGGAGAGAACACGAGTCAGCATTATGACCTACCTCCTTGTTTTTATCACCGGCAACAACAGCTCCGTTTGAGTCGTATGCCTCAAATTTCTGCAAAGACAATAAACGTAGACAAATTAGTCATCTCTCTCCAAACCCAATAAAATTAAGGCAGAAAGTTTTTGAAGGCCGCATTAATTATTTAGATTTATTTATATATAAGTCTTTTCTGGTACGTACTAATCTGTTCGTAATTTATCTAAAATAATCCAATCTAAAAAGATTCCGTTAAAGTTAACAGAACATTGCGACCTAATCAAACAGAAGGAAATAAGGAAATTACTATAGAAGCTAGGCCAATTCAAAATACTTCAATGTATAAAGTCCGAAACACGATATTAAACATTTGCAGGATTATTTACAAAATGCTCAATTGTCGGTCGAGACGTACTAGTAAACTGCGATAGTTGGTTAGACTGCAAACAAGTTGTCATTGAGAAAGTAGAATTGCCAACAAGAATTCCCAAACTGCCAAACTAAACAAGCAACAAGAATTCCCAAACCCGAAATCTAACGTTACCTGTTTACTGAGAAATTCAAGCGTAAGTTGTACGAACACTTTATTGAGGTCGTTTCGATCTACACCAATCTGCAAAAAAAAAAAAGAAAAAAAAATTATGAATACCTCGTGAAGAAATGCAGTATTGCTTATCCTAAACTCCACCATACAAGTAAGCAAAAGTCATGAATTAATTCATTTGATTAGAACGAAAGGACTATATCTCCATCCTCCACACTCACAGACACACAAGTAAAAATAAATTACTACAGTTAAACCTCTACAAATTAATACAGTCAGGACCGGTCAAAATCTATTAATTTAGCGAAATATTAATTTAACGATATAATTTTTAACACGTTGTCCTCAAGTAGGGACCGAGAAAAAATACTAATTAAACGAGGTTATTAATTGATCGAGTTTCTACTGTACAATCTTGAAAGGTTGCAAAACAAACAGTAATGAGAAATTACAAGACATTAAGAAAATAAATAAAACATAAAACGATAAGAAAATTAATTGGCTTAAAAAAAGAAGACGATGATGTAACCAGCAAAGACATCAATCAGCGAACGCCATTTCGAAAGATTTCATCTGCTAGGGTTTCAGGCATATCTTAAACCGAAAGAAAGCATGGTATTCCTTAATCCCATATTTACAGGGAATGGAACATCAAAATCTTGTCTTTTCAGAAAATTATATAGAAATTAGGCAAACTATACAAGGAAGAAAAGTACTTGTCCTATTTCATCTTTTAGAGGTACTTGCCAGTCGAGCTCGCAGAGTTCGCATTTTAACAATCGGCATAATCAGTTCCCAGTAAACATTGCTCCAAACCGTCTCTCTGTGCTTGATCTCATTCTTGAGTGCCTGTTTTGAAGATTTGATTGTCATATAAAAGTGGTGGATTAGTTTCGATTATAAAACGAAACCATTGGCATGTGAGAGTATGTTGCGGAAAGCTAGAGGAGGCGAAAACCTACAGAATACATGTTCTCTGTGACTGATTTTCTTAGTAATCCTTTGTCTCCGTTGGCCATTTGTGTATTTATCTATATACAAATTGAGAAAACCAATTAGAAATGTGAAAGCAAGAACATGATATATGAGATGTGGTCGAAATGTAGATTGAAAATGCAAGAGAGGACCTCTTTGTATAGATCAACAGCTTCTTCGTAGAACTTCTTTTTAGAATACCCACTTTTTCTCAATTTCGCAATTGCGTAAGCGGATTTTAGCTGCAATTAAAAAGCCATTACATCAGAAACTTAATATCCAAGTAAATGTTTCATTTTCCAGATTAAAACACACACACACACACACACACACACACACACACACACACACACACACACACACACACACGCACACTCGCAGAGAAGTAAAGTCCTTCGTACATGGATTTCCATACTTTTTATTATTTTCATCTTTGATAGTTTTATTTTAATTTCATCTCCCAACAGCAATATCATAAGGCCCTTTGCTTTGAAGTTAGTATAATCGAAAATGGTGTTCTGAAAGGATAAACCTGAAAACAACTATTTGGTTGTACTGAAAATAGGCAGAGCAAAATTTTTTCAGAAAATTAAAAAGAAAATGAAGACGAACACCCAATCACAGAAATGAAGACGAAAATTAAAGTTTCCGCAATTAAATTTTTAGAAATGCAACCAACCACCGCCTAAAGTTTCCAGTAGCAGAGAAATGAAACTAGTGATTTATTGCCGAAGCTGAAACGAAACATCATTTTTGCATCGGACTATCATGATTTATTTCCTTTTAAATGAATAACCATTTTAGCCCACGAACAGGAATAAAGACATGTGCCATACCTCTAGAACGACATCTTCTTTTGTTCTTTTCCAACCAGATCTCGTAAACCATCTGATCCAACAAATCAAGTTAGCAAAGACCAAGGCTATTACGTATCAGAAAGAGAAGAAATGTTCATTCAAATCAGTCCTTTTGTATCAACCATAAGCATGCATCTCGTGAAATAATGCAATGTCAACATAACGCAAGTCAAAGTCAATATGCATGTGTATCTGTTTGACCAGAATCGTGTCATATCCATTATTTTCATTCCCAAAAACAGTTATGGTAGAAAATTGCTGAACCATAAACATCTCCAAGAAGTTTCTGTAGCTATTCATGCAATAAAACATTGATCTCAATCATATTTTATCAGTAGCATACGGCAAATTAATCTGATTTTTAACCTCAATGATTTTGTTAATTTGGACAATAATATAAAACCTTCCTCAATAATCTTTCTGATAGATGGGTCGTGTAACTTTTTTCCAAAGAGCATGTTTTCACAGATGGAAAAATCGACATACAAAAGATAAAATATGTAACAAAAACTTCCCAAAACACAGAAACTTTCAATGATAATCGAAGTGAAAATCCGATGGCAATCACTGACATTGTTGGAATGCCTAGTAGCGTGTGGAAAATAAACTATTTTCAAATTTTAAATGCGTTAATGACAGGAAAATCTTCAATATGGTCTCACATGCGACACCAATAATAATCATACTTACCTATACCAGAAAGATAATGATTCACGGGCTGAATATTGGTCGTATACAAATCCAGGACTCGTCATTGAAACTTTAAGAGACCCCTGCATACACGAAACTTTATGACTGTGGCTGTTTTGTATAACATGTAATTCAGGTGTAACTTTGATACAACAAGAGTCAGGGAATGCGGAAAGATAATTGGGTATGATGTATGCAGCGTGTGTGTGTGTGTGTGTGTGTGTGTGTGTGTGTGTGTGTGTGTGTGTATATTTGAAGAATATATCATACACTAATATTATGCAATTTTCTATCCAAAATTCTAATAACTGCAAACATTAAATTATCTACCCATCTATTACACATCCTTTGTTTTTCTACCTAGTGTTATTAGCACTAGCATGTAGGTTACGACATAAGCTCTTTTTAGAAGACATTCTTGGAAACTTAGAGCATCATTACTGCGTAAAAGTTTTCATCATGTTTAGTATTTAATATTTCACGGATATAGCAAACCTAGTATTCAGTCAGAACTTAGGATTAATGACAAAGTCATACACTATTTTTAATGCAAATTTTGTTTGTTAAAGGATTGCCTTGAGTGCACATTGTGCCTTGAAATAGGTCAAAATCACATTTGAGGCGCACTTCAGAAAAGGCATGCAATGTTATGACACTGTTACCTGTACTGTGTCATAACTTTCTAAAAACTTCAGTCGTGACATTCTATCATACGTAAAAGTTCATTCTCACACGAACGCAATTAGATAGCTCTTAAACGAACAAATCCAAAGTTTTGAGAATAACATCATACCATTTGTCGGGTTTGAGCTGGAGGCTTTACTTGCGTACTCATCAACCTAACACAGCTGATGTGTGGAGATTTTGCCTCCTGAAATCAATAAAACACACGTCGCAATAAATCACTGAAGTTTATTGCGGAGCAAAAGAAGAAAACAAAAATGAACTTCATGAGTCAAAAGGAACATAACTAATATTACAAAAAAACATATCAGCAAGATGTCCTAAAATTTATTTGTAAAATTTCATCTTTTCCAATTGTTACAGATAATTTTGATTTAAGAAAAAAAAAAGATAAGCAAAAAAAAAAAACCAACTTCATAATGAATTGCACCAAAAAAATTTATATTCGAGTACCCTTCTCATAGGACCAAGATGACTAGAATTTTTAATATTCCAAATTTCGGTTTCAATCTTTAGCCGTCGCTTTTTAGGATGAAGAAGATGCTATTGCATCTTATTACCAATACTTCTTTCATCAATGTCTCAAAACAAAGTGGTTATGAAACTACTTAAACTATTTCTTGCCAATAAACGGCGAGAAACATAAATTGCTCATGCGTCCCGAGTTGCAGAGTTTCTGGAGACTGAGGGCGTGTTCGGATTTTAGTCATCAATTTTTATTTTTTCTCGTAAATGTGGGAAGATTGGAACTATGCCTTACACAGTGATCTAATATTCGATGCCCGACGCATATCTAGAAAGATACATTCAATATGATTGGATTGTAAGTTTTTAACAGGCAGAGATTACAGAGAAACAAATGCCTTCAAGCAGAAAATTGAAAACAATTACTCTTCAACTTCAGATATATGAATTCACTATTTTATAATTAAAATAATAAAAATGTCACAGTGCATTTCTGCATTTGTTTGATCTTGATTTCAGGAAAATGAAGAGAACAAAGGGGGTACCGATTTCAGCAGCCAAGGAGAAGGTTCCCATTGTTGTTCCAGCCATACACGGGAAGGCGCTAGAAATGGCAGAATCCGGCGCCGACACTGAAAAAAGGAAATAATAAAAGCAAAAATTTAAGAATTACATTAATTAAAAATAAATATGGATGGATCGAGGAGGGAGAGAAGAAACACCTGTACCAGAGCTTTCGCCATGAAAGAAGGTTTAACTAGGGTTTTGGAGAATTAGAGACGTTTTTCGTTTGGGGATATTGGCAGCAACCGAACCACGGGCTAAGACGACCCGGCCCGATATTGACCATCACTCAATTAGTAAATAGGGTCAATTAGGCAAGATCCCCTTAGGCCTTCGTGCGACAGGATTCAAAATGATTGTATCAAAGCCTCTAGATTACACTGTTTGGATAAGCCAAAATAATACTCAATTATACCCGCAAGGGTGGCCTAGCGGTTGGAGCAAGAGAGCTTGGGTCAATTGACCCAAGTTCGAATCCCCTTGCCAACGGTCGCTAGGTCGAGCTTGTCACACATGGTTAGCCTAGTGTGGTTTACATCTCTCGTATGGTTTGCAAGCTATTATACGAGAGTGTAGGTTTACCCAGTGCACCTATATGGTTGGCTGTGGGTTCCTGCATTACAAAAAAAATAAAAATAATACTCAATTGCATCTTTGGTTTGTCTGATTAACTTTCATAGTAATTACTGGTTTAGATCGTTCATGCGTTTGGTTCGTGTGATAACGACGGATAAAAATGTAAAAGATCGTTTTTGCCCTTTGGCTTTGCTTCTACATCTACATAAAGCTTGCTTCTATGTACTACATAGTACATATATTTTTTTTTCTTTGTTTGAAGCACTGGTTTTATCTTTGTTTTTGTTTGTTCCCAAAAAAAATTGGTTGCCAGTAAATATTGCGAAAATTATTAAAAGACAATGAGCTCCGGCAGTTGTAACAGTTTTCGTGGTCGGGAACGGAACGTGGTGTACTGTAGCAACGGCCAGGGTCATAACCGTCCTTTTGTTTGCCACTGCGGCATTGCCGTGAAGGTCCAAACTTCGTGGACGGAACTAAACCCATGCCGCCGATTCGTTTCATGTCCAACGAGAGGGGTAAGTTTGGGTCAAGTTCGTTCATGACGAAATATTTCCCTAATTAACGTCTTGCTCTTTTTGGATTTCTTGTAGCAAGCTAAGTGCAACTTCTTTTACTGGTGTGATGCTGAAATTTGTGACCGAGCGAAGAACATAATACCTGTTTTACTGAAGAAGACTTGTGCTTTAAACTCAAGGGTAGCTGCTCAGGAATTGCAAATTAAAAAATGGAAATTTCTTGCATTTTGTACATCACTGCTCCTTGTAATGACAATAATTTTATGCGTAGTCTGAATTTGTTATGCAACACTTTTCATTTTGTATGGCAGCGTCGTACTGGTTGTACTTGTTCTTTATAATAATGCTATTGAAAAACAAAAGTTGATTATTTGTGTGAACGATCAAACAACCAAATCATCGAATATCTTCTTTGTTTGTTTCCTACAGAGGGAATATATTCGATTTGTGTGGGTGGTATAATTTGAAAATATTAATACATGTCAAGATAATAATACAGTTGCATATAAACCCCACATTACATACAGTTGAATTTGTTGTTTGTTTACTTACCTTGCGCAGCCACGTAGTTTGGGGATTATATTGTATACGCAAATAAAATTATGTCGTTTGTTACCTCTCCTTGCACATGCACGTAACTTTGGAGGCTACCCCCAATGCGGGCGGTCATGGTACTTACGGAGAAATTTACGAAATAAATGCAAATCATCTTCAAACCCCATGCTACAACATCTGCCCTTACTAACAAGGACATCGTACGACCGACCGTACCAATTAGAACATGACTGTACATACGGAAACTGACAAAACATGAAGTCAAACCTAATATACATACGACAAAAATAACAACACATGAATTACGTACTAATTAGACATACACTGGAATAACACTTCCAAGTTCTCAAAAAATGACACATGCACACCACGACCATATTTCTCAAGATTGAGTGACTCTTGAATTAGCCTCAGACTCGGCCAACGATTCATTGTCGGAATCAGCCACATTTCCTTCCTCCCACTCTTCAGATGCAGCGTCGCAGTCGTCCATCGCATTATCCCCGTCAACCACTCCCGCCAAACCATTGTCCAACTGTTCCGGTGCGTCATTCTAGCCAACCTCAGCTGCCATACCGACATCCAACTATGCTGGTGCAGCATCCCAACCCCATTCCCAAGGATCTTCATTGGGATATTGCATTGCCATGTAGTCTAGATACATTGCTTGATCAGCCTTCCTGTCAGAGTCATCTGTCAAGTAATCATCGAACGCGTACCCCGCTTCGATGTATCGGATCTTCAATGCGATTCCCTTGGCCACGACCCAAGTCGATCGCTCCCGCCTCTTTTTCGTCGAAGATGAGTTCGCATGTATCAAAATATGCAAAGCTGTTGGCGCGAAATTAATTGTACATGAGTTTCTTGTGCTGCTTCATTTGCATTAGATACAAACCAATAAAAATTTCACACTAAACAACAAGGTATATTATCCCAAGTAAATCACATTATTGTCTTTTATAATTTTGGAATAAAATAGAACCTGTCCATTAGATACAAACCAATAAAAATTTCACACTAAACAACAAGGTATATTATCCCAAGTAAATCACATTATTATCTTTTATAATTTTGGAATAAAATAGAACCTGTCCATTCAATGTCGGGTCGTACGTTTCGTTGGTCGTCACCTTTTTTGTGCGGCGATTATACTTCACTCCCGGTAACATAAGAAAACCCAGAAATGTGTGGTACCGGTTACGCATCATTTGTACCCGACGCTTCACCTCCTCGTTCGTTATGTCCCTCCTATACAACCTACGCATTTCAGGTGCAACCACTTCAAGAACCGAATTGAACACAACATCATCGGCAAGAGTATCGTATGGCAATGAGAAATAATCAACATGTGCCATCATGAAATTGTCATACTCGATCGGCCACTCATCTCCATTAAACGTGGATGCGATACGTTGGTTGCGTGTCTTCACCATGCTGCCGATGAAAATAGAAGCACAAAAATATTAATGTACAAAAATATAACGAACATAAAAAATGATATGAGAAACGGATTAAACATAATTTGGCACACATTAGAAGTACTATTCTTTTTTCTGAATTTTGTTTTACAAATAATTATGATTTTGTTCACGTACCTCCCTCGATGCTACTTCAATCGATAATTCCCAGTTTTGTTGAGAGTGTTGGTCTTTCTTTGATACATGGATTCGTTTGGTTGCATGCACATAAAAATGCCACGTGTAACTAAAGAAATTGCTATGTTCAACCTCAAATATGAAACGTGTGAAAAAGTTCCTTGACATAAGTGTTTATCAGCAAGTTGGTTTCAAGATTAAACTGCATTAATATTGTGTATTTTAATATAATTTATTTTTCCATTCTCTTCCCATTTCATTGATGTGTTATATCAATATAAAGTCTGCACCAACTGTAAAGAAAGCAGTACAAACAAAGCTCGTAGATTCTGTTTTATTAAGATTGTGGTTTTTTTGTGGTTTTGGAATATATTCCTTATCTGAAAAGTCTGATTTTGGTAAAGCAAATAGTGCTATTTATTTGCAGCTTTACTACTCAACAAGACCCTTCATAGGGTCTTCTTTACAGCCTTGTTCATGGCTTTATATTGTTTTTACAGTAATTGTTGTTTTAGGTAGCCGAAAATATTTAATAAAATCTCCATAATTTGCAGTTCTGCAATATTCTATGAATTACACTTTAGTGAGATTGTAATATTCCCTTCATTATGTAACCAAGAAACTTCTTCGGCATAAAATGATTAAAACGAAAATTTCAAACGTCCAAGTAGGAAGATATAATTTTGTTTCTATAAAGTAAGATCACCTGCAGATTTTATTTCAAAATTTTCAATGTTCTATGAAAATATTCGAATTGTGAAAAATGATGGCAGGTCTGCAAGATTCTGTATATAAAAAGTTAAATAACATTATTTAGTACATAAAAAATCCCATCAACACATGCCATACAACACTCTCCAAATTTTTATTTTCTTCGTTAGTTCTAATTTGCGCATGCAACTATCATAATTTGGTAATTGACTACCAAAAGTAATATTGCATATTATGACACGTTCAATTAAGTAATATTCTCACGCCAACATGTCTGTTTCAATTGAGAAACTGTTAATTTACTACATTTGGTGTAGTTGGTATTGCATCTTTGCATTATATAAATAACAGCATAAATCAACACCACCATCACAAAACACTCAAGCAATGACACCAAAAAAAGATATACCAATTCCTGAAGATTTCTTTCGTACGACCTGGCTTGGCATTGCAAAATTGACGACACATTTGTTCAAGTCTTAGCTTATGAGGCCCGTCTAGGCAGTTTTTTTCTGGGCAAAACAAACAAAAATTCAATCAGGATGGCTCAGATGGTGATCAACACAAAATATGGTACGTGTTTCTCTACGAAATATTGTTCAACAAAGATGACGGAACTTGAAAAACGGTACAACACCTTTTGTTGGATGTTAACGCTACCTGGTGTGACTTACAATGAAACTACCAACAGTGTACACGCCTCAGATTTGATATGGTCAGACATTCTTAAGGTATTTCGAATATTCTTAGTACATATTACGCAATACGTTGAGACAATTTTATTTTTAACTTGTCGACATATATTATTAACATGTCATCCGGATTGTATAGGCCGGCCCACCCTATCTCATATTTGTATGGTACTTATGGGGAAAATAGATGGGACGAAATGCAAACCATCTTTGCACCACCCACCACATCTCATATTCCTTGTAGCCCTGAAATTATCGTTGTGTCATCGGAAGACGATGATGAAGAGAGTCCATGTAAGAAACCCCCGAACTCTCCTGCTAAGATCGAGGGAGTCTCACTGCCTCAAACCGACGTGGTTAACATCTCGTCAGATTGTAGCACTGTTAATGTGAATGTTTGGGACTATCTAACAAACGTGTCCGACGCTGAGGGCTCTTTGAATACAGAGTGTAGCACTGCAAATTCCAGGTTGCGTCATCGCAACAATGCCCCGAGCCCACTTTAACCCAAACAAATTATGATGCCGAAATATAAAAATTTATCCGGTAGTTTTGGTATAAGTTCAGCGGGTTCAAACTGCCCTCCGATTCGAAGTAAGGGTAAGGGTCCA